GCTGAATGCGAATCCAATCCTGATGCATGGGAACTCTTCTCCCCGGGCTATGGGGAATCGCTCGTAATTACAGCGTGTTTGCACTGTGTTAGTTCAGATTAAAGCGTTCATTAGAGTGCAGAAATGGAGATATTACTGCATTCGTGCAGCGATGTGACTGTGGTCATGATTGCGTGTGTGTGTGTGTGTGTGTGTGTGTGTGTGTGTGTGTGTGTGTGTGTGAAAGTGACAGTTGGAATTCAAATTTACGAACATTCCCCATTGTTAAAGTCTATGGGATTTATTTGCCGCTTTTTTCGTCCGCTGTGTGAACATCGTAAGTCCGATCTGATAGGAAATATATAACACACCTCTCCTCATTAATATCAATTTGAAAACTTTCAAGATTACAGATGTTTTTTTTAAGTATTTCATTATCTGTGTTTACCTTCCTAACTTGTAATGAATTAGCCATAGCATGACCGTTTCCAGGCCCAGATCCGCTGGAGAACCAGAGAGTCGTCTCAGTAATTCTCCAAGACCTGTCTCTCTCACACACCTTCACTAACCCGGAGATTCAGTCGCTGACCTTTCAGCTGCAGGCCAAGTCATTAACCTCCACACACACACACACACACACAGGCCACAGCATATTAGTGTGGACTGAAGATTTAAAAGCCAATCCAGTTAGGTCGTGCAATGTTATCAACAGAAATGCTGTAGGCGCATGAAAATTGGTCATAAATATGTGTTTAGGTGTAGAGAAACCATTATTCCCTGCACTTTTTGGTGGGTAATCAATGTTAGAAAGTTTCCCCAAGTAATGTGTAGTCCCCTGGTTTAGAGATATGCGTGTGTGCGTGTGTGCGTGTGTGTGTGTGTGTGTGTGTGTGCTTGTGTGTGCGTGTGTGTGTGCGTGCGTGTGTGTGTGTGTGCTGTTGTTGTCTGCTCCTCTTCTTTACTGACTGTGAAACAAGCGAGGACACTACAGCACACATTTCTGAAACGAGTTGTAATGGCAAGATGATTATGTTGTGTGTGTGTGTGTGTGTGTGTGTGTGACTTGGACTCTAGTTCAGAGACTTGAGACTTGACTTGGACTCTAGCTCAAATACTTGAGACTTGACTTGGACTCTAGTTCAGAGACTTGAGACTTGACTTGGACTCTAGCTCAAAGACTTGAGACTTGACTTGGACTCTAGCTCAAAGACTCGAGACTTGACTTGGACTCTAGCTCAAAGACTTGAGACTTGACTTGGACTCTAGCTCTGAGACTTGAGACTTGACTTGGACTCTAGCTCAAAGACTTGAGACTTGACTTGGACTCTAGCTCAAAGACTTGTGACTTGACTTGGACTCTAGCTCAAAGACTCGAGACTTGACTTGGACTCTAGCTCAGAGACTTGAGACTTGACTTGGACTCTAGCTCTGAGACTTGAGACTTGACTTGGACTCTAACTCAAAGACTTGAGACTTGACTTGGACTCTAGCTCAAAGACTCGAGACTTGACTTGGACTCTAGCTCAAAGACTTGAGACTTGACTTGGACTCTAGCTCAAAGACTCGAGACTTGACTTGGACTCTAGCTCAAAGACTTGAGACTTGACTTGGACTCTAGCTCAAAGACTTGAGACTTGACTTGGACTCTAGCTCAAAGACTTGTGACTTGACTTGGACTCTAGCTCAAAGACTCGAGACTTGACTTGGACTCTAGCTCAAAGACTTGAGACTTGACTTGGACTCTAGCTCAAAGACTCGAGACTTGACTTGGACTCTAGCTCAAAGACTTGAGACTTGACTTGGACTCTAGCTCAAAGACTTGAGACTTGACTTGGACTCTAGCTCAGAGACTAGAGACATGACTTGGACTCTAGCTCAAAGACTTGAGACTTGACTTGGACTCTAGCTCAAAGACTTGAGACTTGACTTGGACTCTAGCTCAAAGACTTGTGACTTGACTTGGACTCTAGCTCAAAGACTCGAGACTTGACTTGGACTCTAGCTCAAAGACTTGAGACTTGACTTGGACTCTAGCTCAAAGACTCGAGACTTGACTTGGACTCTAGCTCAAAGACTTGAGACTTGACTTGGACTCTAGCTCAAAGAATCGAGACTTGACTTGGACTCTAGTTCAGAGACTTGAGACTTGACTTGGACTCTAGCTCAAAGACTCGAGACTTGACTTGGACTCTAGCTCAAAGACTTGAGACTTGACTTGGACTCTAGTTCAGAGACTCGTGAGCATCTCTGATATCAGGGCCGTACGTAGGGTTTTCTAAATACCCAGGTCCCATAAATTATATTGCTAGGGGGGGAAATTTAGATTTTCCTGAAAAAAAAGAAAAAAAATTACATTTAAAAAATGTAACGTCGCGTTGGGATTCGCGCTCGGCTCGCGCTTCTGTGAACAAAAATCCCGCTTGTTTTGATTGGACTCAAACATTTTGACATTGACGAGCGGGTGTTTGAGTGCTGAAGCACATCAGATGAGGTCAGTTATCGTCGCGATGGAAGAATCATTGCAGCAACAAATTAGAGTTAATATTAGGGGTACGACCCAGACTGGGTGTTTTTTATTCACGAGATTGGATTAGCAACTAAATGATGCGCATCAGAGGGGATTTAGAAGTGGGTATATGCAATGCCGACTGAAAAAGCGTAGTGTATAGTGCACGACACCACTGCGCATGACGTCACATTTCGTGAATTTTCACGCCGACTCGGACCCGACTGACAGACAATTGAGCTACAGGCTGATAGAGGCGACCGTGGTGGACAGTCAAGGTGTCATTCTTTCTATTACATTATGGTTGGCTCATAAATGTACAAATGAAGATTTTTTTTGAAGTAGAAACCTACATAGCCTAGATATAATTTTTAGGTGCTCAAAACAGACATGATTTTCATTGATTTTCTTAGCTTAATTTAGTCTACTAGTCTACAACATGTAATTTCCCCTTCCAGCGCTCTTTCTGCTCAGATGTATGTTATTGTCCACATGAACTGTGACGCTCCTTTTGTTCTGGGTGACGGTTGTGTGAAAAGCACCGAATTAATGAAAAATATAGTTTTCATAAAGGATGACAGACAGAATGGACACATTAAAAGTATGTGAGCTTTCAATATGTGCTTGAAAACACACACAAAATGTGAAAGAACTGCTGTATAAAAATTCACAGCATTAAAAGTTGAAGTATTTGACCGTGACACGTGTTGTTGAGTTGGTTCATGACTTCAGCTCAAAGCTGGGCTTGCTCATCCCGACTGTCTAACATGAGGATTGTTTCATGTTTGCTCCAATTATAAATGCGTGTTATTAAACATGACACACATATTCTTCTTCTGAAAGCAGTGTGTGTGTGTGTGTGTGTGTGTGTTGCACACGTCCGGGTGAGAATGGAGGAATGCGCTGAGATTGTGTGTGCACAGGGAGGGAAAATATTACAGTTGGAACATTTTCCCGTAAAAATGTTTGATGGAATTCCGAGCGATCCGGACAATCTCAACTCCTCTCTCTCTACACACACACACACACACACACACACACACACACACACACACACACGCTTGACACTCACAGCGAGAGAGAGAGCTCTAACACACTCGCTGGAACAGACGGAGTGTGTTTAGAATGAGGTTTTTGTGTGCATGTAAAATCCTTTTGTTAGACTGTGTGTGTGTGTGTGTGTGTAAGATTCAGCAGTGTTTACACTCTTCTATCTCTCTCTTCTCTTCTCACAATATTCTATACGCTGTTCTGGATTGTGTCGTATAATAAATCACTGATAAAAATGATTCTGTGGTGAAGTAAATTATACTGAAAGAAAACATGTCATTTCTAACTGAATAAGTTAGTTCAGGCAAGTATAAAAAAAACAGTAAATTCTATATTAATACTCAATTTAAGCTTGGAGAAATAAAAGTGTAAATATCAACATAATAAAATTAAGTACAACCTACTCCACTTTCCGACTCTGGTATTCCCATCATGCATGAGTAGTTCATAAGTTCACATTTTCACTGGTTTCCAGCTGTAGTTACTGTTTTATCACTGCTTTTGTTGTTGGGTTTAGTAACTTCTACTTACAATGATCCAGTGAAAGTTACCGTTATTGTAAGTTGTGGACCGAGTATTGAGGTCTCATTACTTATATATACACAACATCTACTGGATGTATTATTTACTTAGAGGTTCTATGTAAAGCAATCACTTTAAAAGCATGGCTTTATTCAGTGTTATATTGTTTAAGTAAAATGAACAGAGTATTGCAAAGTAAACTGCAATTAAGTAGAAATTACTCAACAATTGAAATTTACTTAAAAAAATCTAAAATTAAGTACTTTTTCCCAGTGCACGGTGACTCATTCATATTGAATTATTAATTGTGTTTAATTAGGGTTATTTTTTTGCTAATTTAGATGCACAATTAAAAAGGGTATATTACTTTGTATCACCGAGTCGACTGTGAGTCATATAACGTTAGTAACACTTTATTTTACACGTGTTACATGCAATTAACTGTAAATCAATCATAATTACAAGCAACTAACCCCATCAAACCAAACCCTAATAATTAAACACAGTTAATTAATATTACTCAGTACACTGAAAAATAGTGTTACCCTTTATTTTGTGTCCTTTTTACAATGTTACATAGTTACCATATCTAAATTATGCATAATTACATGCAACTAACCCTCAACCAAACCCTAACCCTATAGAGAGTACATGTAGTTCATTAATATTACTCAGTACTTAAATATATAATTACACTGTAACACAGACACCTTTAAATAAAGTGTAACCGGTTTTTACTATCAGTTTTTGGAGAGACTAGAAAAAGATTATTGCAATAATTTTACAACTATTCTTTCTATTTCAAAATCTCATGCTTAATTCAATCTGTTTCTCCTGAATTATGTGTGGAAGTGACTAAGAGAAGATGAACTGAACTGGTGAAGGTGTGAGCAGTCGTGTTGAGCTAATGCTGGTGTGTGTGTGTGTGTGTTCTGTGGCGTAGCGGCGAAGCCGGCGGAGAAGGAGGAGGTGCCAACCGTCGCCGGGAAGATGGACGCCGACAAGGGGAACAAGAAGAAGGAGAAAGACGGCAAAAAGGAAGGCAAGGGTGCGAAAGAAGGGAAGGCAGAGGAGAAGGAGAAGGAGGAAGCCCCGAAGAAGAAAGGGGAGAAAGGCACATCGAAGAAAGAGGCATCGGACGCAGGAGGGAAAGGCAAAAAGGGAGGAGAAGAGAAAGGAGGGAAAGGAGGAGGAGCCAAAGGCAGTGAAGCCAAGAAGCCTGCGAAGAAGTGAACATCACTGTGTGTGCTAAACTTTTTTAATTGCTTTTGTAAGACACTTTATAAATGTACATTTACAGTTTGTTTATTTTATTGTAAATTGTAAATATGGACAATAAATGCGTCTCTGTTAATTATACATTTTCATTTATTTCTTATTCACATGATACACATGATCAGCACTAAATCATACAACACTGGTGCTTAGAAAAGTTACTTTGCATGTAACATATAAACAACAACAACAACAAAATCACGTAAAATGTTCATTTTTAAAATACTGTAAAAAAGAATAGTTCTCCACAAATGAAAGCGGTCCTCGTTTCCTCTCCTGTGTGCTCGTCTGGAGCCGGCTTCTCCACTGCTTGAGAAAGAAAGGAAATGCTGCCAGAATGCTCAGTTGTGGATCAAATATTGCTTGTCGCAATGTGTCAGATTCACCTTTCCAACGAGAACATGAATAAACATGTGGGAAATGCACAGGAGTAAAGCAGAGACGACAGTGACTCAAAGCAGATCATCTTCTCTGATCGATCAGTGTGTCGTACATGACTGAACCACACACACACACACACACACACGGGCGCACACACACACACACACACACACACACACACAGGCACACACACACACACACACATGCGCACACACACATGCGCACACACACACATACACAGACACACGCGCGCGCACGCACACACACACACACAGGCGCACACACACACAGGCGCACACACACACAGGCGCACACACACACAGGCGCACGCACACACACACACACACGCACACACGCACGCACACACGCACACACACACACAGGCGCACACACACACAGGCGCACACACACAGCGTGCAAACAGAGAGGGCATTTCAGGAATAACACTAAATTTAATGGTTAAAAAAATCCTCAAATTCAAGTTCAAACGTTTGTTATATAGAGAAAAGCAGAATGCATATGTTTATATTTTATGGTTTGAATGTAAACTTTTGCATACACTTTATTTTAAGGTGACGTACTTACATTGTACTTAAGTACTGAGTAATTAATCAACTACACGTACTTACTATAGAGTTACAATTAGGGTTTAGTAACTTGTAATTATGTATTATATGTATATGTATTATTGTATTATTACTTTCTTTTACAGTGTCAGTTACATATGTTACATGTAGTTACTATAGTAATAACTATTAATTATGCATAATTACATGCAACTAACCCTCAACCAAACCCTGATCATAACCCTTTAGTACATGTAGTTACTCAATATTACTCAAATGTATGATTACATAATTAAAATATTAAACCTTAACCGCACATGTAGTAACGTGTAACTACGTCACCTTAAAATAAAGTGTTACAAAACGTATTTTTTGAGGATCATAATTTCAGCAAGTATATCAGCATATGAATTACTGTCTTTCCATATTAATTATTACATTCCAGAATATATGCAGAGAAACACATTGAGCTCATAACTGGATGTAAACACAATATGAATGAATATACATGGAGTAAAAAAAGCAGCATTATATTACACATAAGAGACCATGAGCCTCTAAAACTATAATACTGACCAACAAATAACGGCTTCATGAACAATCCCCATATACATGTACAAAAAAACTGTTTGTTCTTCCTTATGGCTGTAAAAAAATAATAATTTGGCGTCTGATGATTTTCATCTTCCCATATACATTATGATGAAGCGCTTGACTGTAATATGAGGCGAGTAATATGAGTGAAGCGCAAGCATAATGAAAGACTTTCCAGGATGAAATCTATATATGTGAAAAATATGACTCATTAATTTCACGATAATGATGAAAGTGAAGTACGGGGGATTTTAATAAACAGCTCTAATGATGCTTTTCATGCTGAGCGTTAATAATTCCCTGAAAACTCTTACAGTGCAGATCATGATGCTGCGAATCCATGTCCAACAAGGTCTCTGCTTTTATATATTTATTCCCGACACCTGAAATATAGTCTAACTTAGCGGAAGAAAACACACAATGAAAGGTATACTGGGTGCTAACAAAGGCATTATAATAACGTTCATTAATTATAGACTTTCTAAGATGCTTTAGATCTATATTTGCTATGCATTTCACCGTAAAAAAACGTAACTTAAAAAAATGTTTGTGCTGCCTTAAAATTTTAAGTTTAGTCAACTTGAAATGTGACAACTTGGATATTTGAGTTGACTAAACTTAAAATTTGAAGGCAGCACAAACACTTACAATTTAAGTTACAACATTTTCTTTTTTACAGTGATAATGACCTTGTATATTAAATGCCTGTTCATAACTCATCGTCTCTTGACGTGAACAAAACCTCGTATCATTTGGCGTGTTAATAAGAGCTGTTATATTGCTTATATACGTGATCTGATCGTGTGAGGATTTTCCTCTTTGGACAAAAACTGCAGTTGAAAAGCTTTTGTAAAAGGTTTTGTATTGGGCTGTTAATCAACACCCTATCAAACACCTAAGCAACCTCTCAGAACACAAAATCCAGTTTTTATAAGTATTATTAAATGACAGCATTATGAATTGTTGGGATAAATTCGCTATAGTAGATTTCAATGGTGAAGGTAGTCAAAAATGACTGTGAAAAAGAAACACAGAATTTCTCTCTTATGCTTATGTGTCTGTCCTAATAACAAAATGCTTTGACATTTCACAAATGTAATAATCACTTCACGATCACTGGTAGTGATGCAACCTTATGCTGTATGAATCTGCACAGATACAGAGGGAATTTCCTTCCGCTTTCACTGTCAGACTCACTGAGAAAAAAGACCGTTTGGCAAGACCTGGCGAATCTACACTGCAAAAAAAAAAAAAAAATTATGTTCTTTCTCAGTATTTTGGGATTGTTTCCAGTACAAAAGATATCTAAACATTCTTGAATCAAGACATTTATTAGAGCAGATATGAAGTCTTGTTTTTGTGAGTTTTTGCTTAAAACAAGAACGGGGTCAGAAAAATAAACTCAATTCATAGGGAAACCAAGAGTATTTTTATGAACCCATTGGCAGATATTTGATACATTTTTCAGAAAACAAGACCTAATATCGTGTTTCTCCAGTAAATGTATCTTGATTTAAGAATGTTGAGATATTTGTGCTGGAAAACAAGACAGAAACACTGAGGAAGAACATATTTTTTTTGCAGTGTACTGTTAAAACTCTCAAGGCTTAGAGAAATATAAATATCACATTCTCCGAACAAAAAACAGCTATTATAATACAAAGATCACAGATCTGGCATCATTCGGAACTTGTGTAAATAAAATGACATTAGTGCTGATCAAATAAGTCCAATGTAAAATCTCACGGCTGTCTTATTTACAATTCACGTTCCAGAGAGCCAGACCTTTCATCAGAAGCAGACTCACCGCTCTTCATCGGACCTGAAAGCGCCGGCGCTGTGAAACACTCGTGTGATATATGAGGGTGTTCACCATAACCGAAATCTGTCCTGATCCTCCAAATAAAGCCAGTAGAAGGTTCCAGTCCGGCTCGTTTACTGGACACTGATGGTCTTTGGTTGGTCCGTTGAGTCTCCAACACATCTGAGATGCTCCCACAAGTCAAACTGTGAGGAAATCCTGAGGAAACAAAGGACCTGCTAGCCCTTTTCTGCACAACACTAGTCCTCTTCCTGAAGTCACATGACGGTTTCTCTTTCCTCCTCCACCACCGGGATGGTTTTCTCCGCCTGGAGGTTCTCGTGGCCCGAGGACGGGATGGAGTTCTCGGAGACGGAGCCGTTCTTGACGTACCCCGGGAGGTTGCGGTGTCCGTTGATGGCCCCGGGCCCCAGGCGGGTGGTGAGGTGCAGGGCCAGGGGCCCGCGGGCCGTCACGTTGGTCACGCTGGTGTGGGACACCATGGGCCCGTAGCTGTACGTGTTGCTGCCGCTCCGGGCTTTCCTCTTGAAGTCCAGAGCCAGTGTCCTCCGACTCCACGACTTCTTGATTTCTGCCTGGACCTGAAGAGAGGGATCAGGACTGATGAGGACTAAACAAGTCATTCTTCTACATTCTACTGTAAACAGTGTTGTGTGTAACTCATTACAAGTAACGAGGGGGGGGGTTTACAGAATACACATATGACCCGGGAGGGGGCTGCATATGGAAAACACTGGGGTGTACAGCCTGCAGGGAGGAATGTTTCAACCCCAGGGGTGGCAAGGTGTCTTGCCAAGGGAGAGACACATGCTCAGGCTTACAGTGGAAAAACACATGTGGGGGTCGACCAGTGGGGACCATGTACATGGCGGTACCTAGCCAACGCGAAAGCTGCCGGTGGCATAACTCTGGCGTTGACGTCAACAGCGCTGGAGGAACTCAGGGCTTCTCGGGGAGGCTCACCTGAGGAGAATATCGTACGTATCTAGTCCGTGGAGTGGAATGGCGAGCAAGCGAAGACACCTGAGCAGATCCTAGTACCGGCTGGTTGAAGCGAGTACATGAGAGGACACTGGCTCCACTCAGAGATTGTAGAATCTCGTGAATGTGTTGGGTGTCGCCCAGCCTGCAGATCTGCAGATGTCTGTTAGCGAGGCGCCATGCGCTAGAGCCCAAGAGGACGCCACACTCCGGGTGGAGTGGGCTTTTACACCAAGGGGGCACGGTCGACCTTGCTGCTGGAATGCCAAAGCAATGGCGTCCACTATCCAGTGAGACAACCTTTGCTTGGAGAGAGCCTTTCCCTTCAGCTTCCCACCATAACAGACAAAGAGCTGGTCTGAGGTCCTGAAACACTGCGTTCTGTCTACATAGATGCGAAGAGCACGTACTGGACAGAGCAGTGCCAAGGCTGGGTCTGCCTCCTCCGGGGGCAGCGCTTGCAGGTTCACCACCTGGTCCCGGAAGGGAGTGGTAGGAACCTTGGGCACATATCCAGGCCGGGGTGTCAGGATCACGTGAGAGTAAGCCGGCCCGAATTCCAGGCACGCTTCGTCAACGGAGAATGCCTGCAGGTCCCCCACCCTCTAAATGGAGGCCAATGCAATCAGAAGCGCTGTCTTCATTGACAGGAAGTTAAGCTCGACCGATTGCAAAGGCTCAAAGGGAGCACTGCGCAGGGCAGTTAAGACCACTGCGAGGTCCCAAGAGGGTACGAGAGGAGGACGAGGAGGATTCAGTCTCCTCGCTCCTCTCAGGAACCTGATGATCAGGTCGTGTTTCCCCACAGACTTACCTTCTATTGGGTCATGATGTGCGGCAATGGCGGCGACATAGACCTTGAGGGTGGAGGGAGACAGCCTTCGCTCCAACCCTTCTTGAAGAAAGGAAAGCACGACACTGATTGAACATCTCCGGGGGTCTTCTCGGTGAGAAGAGCACCAGTTGACGAAGAGGTTCCACTTCAACGCGTAGACGTGTCTCGTGGACGACGCTCTAGCGGAAGTGATGGTAGCCACCACCGCTGGTGGTAGGGTACTCAAACCTGCCTCGTCCCGTCCAGGAGCCACACGTGGAGGCTCCAAAGATCGTGACGAGGGTGCCATAGGGTGCCTCAGGTCGGAGTAACTGGTACTCGGAGAGTGCCGTGTTGCCATGCCCACCTCGGGACTCGGTCGCGAAGGCAAAGCTGAAGCGGTCTCATATGAAGCAATCCGAGCAGTGTTGCCACGGCTGCAGATGCCATATGCCCCAGGAGCCTCTGAAAAAGTTTCAGTGGAACCGCACTCTTGCCCTCAAACTGTCTCAGGCAAGTCAGCAGTGACTGCGCGCGCTCGCCCGTAAGCTGCGCGGACATGGCGACCGAGTCGATCTCCATACCGAGAAAACAGATCCTCTGCACGGGGCAAAGTTTGCTCTTCTCCCAGTTGACCCAAAGGCCCAGACGGGCTACGTGGCGGAGCACCAAGTCCCTGTGTTCGCAAAGCTGATCTCGAGAGTGAGCTAGGATTAGTCAGTCGTCGAGATAATTCAGAATGCGAACCCCATGTTCCCGGAGGGGAACAAGGGCTGCCTCGCCGACCTTCGTGAAGACGCGAGGAGACAGGGCTAGCCGAATGGGAGAACTGCGTACCGATATGCCTGCCCCTCGAAAGCAAACCGCAAGAACGGTCTGTGTCGAGGGAGGATGGAGACATGAAAGTAGGCGTCCTTCAGGTCGATCGCTGCAAACCAATCCTGGTACCGCACACATTCGAAAACGCGTTTGGCGGTGAGCATCTTGAACGGCAGCCTGTGAAGGGAGCGGTTCAGAACGCGCAGGTCCAGGATTGGCCGTAACCCACCGGTTTTCTTCGGGACAATGAAGTACGGGCTGTAGAAGCCGGTCCTCATTTCGGCTGGAGGGACAGTCTCGATCGCACCCTTCGCCAGCAGGGTAGCAACCTCCGCTCTCATGATAGGGGCATTGCCACCGACCATAGTGGAGCGGACTCCCCTGAAGCGGGGAGGAGACCGCGCGAACTGAATCGCGTAGCCGAGCCTGATCGTTCGCGCGACCCAGCGGGACAGGTTGGGAAGCTCTAGCCAGGCTCCCAAGTACTGTACCAGCGGGGTCATGCGAACCACAGACTTCCCGTCGGTGGAGCAGCGAGGCGGTATAGCTGACCCAGACGTGGACGGCATAGTGGCCTGGTGTGGGGGTACTGTCATAGACCGCGTCCTGACAGAGGAGACCAGGGAAGGACGAACGTTCCATGGGGGTCTGCTCTGCCAGGGGTCTGGCGACAGAGGAGGACGAGGGGTGCACGGCCCGGGGACGGCGCACCGTGTCGTCCGAGAACTCTGTGTGCTCAGAGACGGGAGAGTCAGTTCTTTCTGGAATAAGGATTCTTCCCCGGCCCTCCACCAGGGAAAGGAGTGGCCCTGCTACCAGCTCCTGGAAAGAACTGAGTCCCATCTCTGAGCAGCCCATCTCAAGAGTGCCGCTTAACCCGGCGTATAGCAGGGGGTGGGGCTGGAGAGGGCTGTGGTGTCCCCCTGCGGCTTCCAGAGCCAGCTTGGGTGAACGGGCGGGGTGGGAGCCGCAGGAGGGCGCCTTCGGCGGTGGGCAGACCGAGGGATCTGCTCGGACGGCGGGGCCATCGGGGCAGAATAAGCCTCAGTCTGCTCGTGGGCGGTTGAGAACTGTTGGGCAAAGCCCTCAACCGCACCGCCGAAGAGGCCGACCTGGGATATGGGGGTGTCAAGCAGATGGGTCCGCCCGACATCCTGCACATCAGATAGGTTCAGCCACAGAATGGTGGACATCACCTGACCCAGGGAGCGTACGGCCACTTTCGTCGCTTTCGTCAGTGGCGGCGCGCAGCTCATTGAAGAGCCCTGGGTCAGTCCCGCCCTCGTGCATGTCCGTGAGCATCTGGGTCTGGTAGACCAGCAGAATGGCCATGGCATGCAGTGAGGCGGCTGCCTGTCCTGTAGCGCTATAGGAATTCGCCACAAGTGTAGACGAAAAACTACAGGCTTTGGACGGGTGCTTAGGATCGCGCCGAGAGGAAGCACTCTGAGGACACAGTAGCATCGCAACAGAGCGTTCAACCGGGGGGACCCCAGTGTACCCATGGGCAGCGGCCCCGTCGAGGAAAGGAAGGGCAGAGGAGATCAACGAGGGATCGCTGGAAGACATGGGGGTCTTCGAGGATTTCGAGATCTCCTGATGCACATCCGGGAAGAAAGGCATTGGAGTGGACGCCGACAGGAGTCAGCGGCCACACCCAAAACCAATCGTCCAGCAGCGAGCGCTCAGACAGGGTGAAAGGTTCCACATCTAGTCCGATGCTCGCAGCGGTCCGGGAAAGCATGGCCGTCATCTCAGGATCTGACTCGACAAATGCCATATGCACACCCGAAAGTGGCAGCACTGTCGAATCTGAAGATTCTAGCCCGCCCTGTGATGCTGCGATGGACAACAGATCGGATTCTGGAGCGTCAAGGGAAACCCGCGGGGCATCCAAAAATAGACCCGGGGAATCCCCTGAACACTCGCGGGTTGCGTCACTGAAGAGGGGGGCGTGGTCCACGGACAAACAGTCGGCGGATTTGTTCCACACTCACACCTTCAGGTCACCCTGGCCACCAGCCGAAGTAGCACCTCACGTGGAGAGTGTTAGATCAGGGTGTGGATGAGGGGACTCTCTCTCTAACGAGATCATTGAGTCTCGACCGTAATGACGCGATGGTCACGTTCCCGCGGGGAGAACGTGAGTTATCCACAAACGCTGCTCTAGCGTGATCAAGCCCAAGCACGCAGAGCAGAGAATGTGCCCATCAAAATCGGAAATGAGTCGGCCGCAACCAGAAATGCTTCTTTAAAAAGACGTGCCGCGTGCGAGCTCTTTTGTGAGAGGAGAAAAAACTGCGATGTTGAAGCGAGCAGGGAGAACACACTCATTGGCAGATCACTGCACAGATCAGCAGGCAATGTGAACTCGCTGCAGATCGCCGTCACACCAACACCGGAGAGAGTGGCTCGTCTTGTAGAGTGAAGTCAGAAATGGCTGTGGAGTGAAGAGATGCTCTTGGCTCCGAAGCGAAAACATGCCTATTTGCTGCCAGCGTTCTCCTTAAATACCCACGAGGTGAGGCGGAGTTACGCTAGGCAAATTCCGCAGACCCATGGCATTTCTTTGCCATTGGCTCATTTTGTAGTACTCGAAGTCGATAGGCTTCCTAAGCGAAACCCCATTTGTCGTCATCTGACGGAACTCGGAGTGACAACGAAAGGGAACTATTATTATAGATATTAACCTTATTTTAATTGTATAATTTCATTTTTTTTTAAATCAGAAATGTAACCTACTGTATGTTCCCTTATTTTTTACAATTTGATACATTTTCTTTGCACATTTGGTAATGGAGAATTTCAAGCAGTGTTTTTTAAGTGTCACTTAAATTTTGAGACTGTTTTTGTTTTTTAACCTGTGGTATCGATTTAGTATCGATACCGAGGTATTAGGTTCTGGTATCGTACCGAAGCCAAAATTAGCTAGGTGCCGGAGAACTAGGTCCTTGTGTTCGCAAATCTGATCTCTAGAGTGAGCTAGGATCAGCCAGTCGTCCAGATAGTTCAGGATGCAAACCCCGTGTTGACAGGGGCATTGCCACCGACCATAGTGAAGCAGACTCCTCTGAAGTGGGGAGGAGACTGTGCGAACTGAATCGCATAGCCAAGGATGATGGTTCTCGCAACCCAGCGAAACTGGTTGGGAAGCTCTAGCCAGGCTCCCAAGAACTGTGCCAGCGGGGTCATGCGAACCACAGACGTACCCTCGGTGGTTCAGTGAGATGGAATGACCGGCCCAGGAGGAATCGGCGGCCAGACCCAAAAACCAATCGTCCAGCCGAGAGCGCTCAAACCCAATGCTCGCGGCTGCCCGGGAAAGCATGGCAGTCAACTCGGGATCTGACTCGGGCAATGCTGGCACACCCGAAGGCGGCAGCACAGCCGAATCATCATCTCCTGAGGACTCCTGCCCACCTTGTGATGCAACAATCGGCAAGTTCTCATCGTCTTGAGTGCCAAAAGACACACGAGGAACCTCCGAAGATGGTCCCACGGGCGTCGTCTGAACACTCACGGGTTGCAACACTGGAGAGGGGGGTGTGGGCCCGAAGACGAATCGTCGGCGCTTGATTCCACACCGTCACCCTCGGGTCACCCTGGCCACCAGCTGAAGTCTTGTGGAGGGGGTAGATCGGGGTGTGGATGAGGGGACTCTCCCTCTGACGAGGTCATCGAGTCTCAACCGAAGTGTTGCGATGGTCATGTTCCCGCAGTGAGAACATGAAGCATCCACAAACGCTCCCTTAGCGTGATCTATGCCCAAACACGCACGACAGCGATCTCTACTTCAGCATTGGAAGATAAGGTCTTTCTTTCCAAGAAATATACACTTAAAACCAGAATACAGGGGCTCGTTTAATTAAACTATTCAAGAGGGTCACCAACAGTTAGGAGAATACGTCAATTAAACTGAAATAATTAAAACTATGAAATGAATTATTGCACATTATACAAAATAGTATAAAGTGCAAGAACATCAAAAATATATATATTGCGGTCCTATCACTGCCAGGACCATTTATTGCAGGATCTGCTATATAAAAAAATGACCTACAACACTCAGAGACACTCAGAGTTAGTGTAACGTCTTGTGCATGTGGACACTAACAATTATCAGACAAAGTTTTGGGATACAGAAGATACAGAAAATCGTTCTTACCTCTCCATTGCAGAAGCAATATATAATTGCAACAAAGAATCCCTGGAAAACAGAGCATGAAATATAAAGATACAACTTATAGCAAAATATGTTGGTGTCTATACAGTCTTAATCATCTACATCTCAAGAAGTTTGACCTGGAATGAGTTAATGAGCATTTCATAGTGCATCTGTATTTGCCACGGGACCCCGGACACCTCTGTGTAGGGCATTGCCATGAAGACGATGTAGTGAACGCCGAACAACGGCATGAGCACCAGGGTGGACTTCAACAGCTTTCTGCGGGGCGCAAACAAGATACACAACCACACGCTAGTTAAATACACATGACCGTTCACAAGTTTGGGCTCAGTGTGTTTTGGGATTTTCTTTGAAAGTAACTGACACTTTGATTGGGCCAAGGATTCATTAAATTGATCAAAAATAACAATAAATGCATATATGAGGTGTTTTTCAAAATGTAGATTTAAGTAGCAAACGAGAACGAGAAGCTAAAATCTTAAAAGTCTTCTTTATAAGTTTTAGTTTTGTTCAAGCTAATTAAAGCAAGTTTTCATTAGCGGGAAGAATATATATATATAAAAAAGTGTGATATTTGGGGTAAAAGACACAATAATTCACATGATAATGAATACCTGTCTGACTTTTCCATTTGTTGACATGACATGGTTATTCAGATGGTAAATGTCTTATATTAAGTTGGGTGTCCAGCTTAGAGGTAATCACCATATTTATAATGAAACCATCATGTTTAAAAATATCATATTAATCATATCATATAATAAAATATCATATTTATTTGTTCCTACTGTATCTTTACTTTTTTAATGATTTTGTTTCAGTATTTTTAAACACATTTTACTGACAGTTTATTTATTGAACAAATTAGCTTTGCTAAAGTGATTTCTTTGAACAAATAATAACTTAGACATTATTAAGAACACATTATTTTAGCTGAAGTATTTGTATCAGTACTGTATGTCTTTTGCTCCATGTGCCTGTGCCTAAAAGACCCATTTCACCACCTATATATACTTTAGTTACTACTTGGTATCTATAAATATATACTAGTAATTAGGAGTTTATTGAGGCAAATACATAGTTTATAGTGAGAATTGGACCCTAATCAAAAGTATAACCGTACCTTTATTGATATTGATTGTATTATAGATAATATACATTCAGTCATGGTGAACAGAAGACTCTTCTTAAGAAACATTACTGAACAAAAACAGCAGTGTGTGTTTCAGTGTTGTTCATTCTTACCTGTACTGTTGTCTGGTGTCACATCTCCCTGCATTTGTTTCTCGGAGTTTTGTTGCCAAGACTCTGATTATATTCAGGAACAACAAAAAATTTACCTTGGGGGTAGAAAAAATATACACAAATTAATGGATCATAATTGAGACTAAAAATAAAATAAATGATGCATGAAATGACTCCTGCATTAATTGAGGATTCTCACACTGCGTTCACAGGAAAGCAAATGGCAGACAAATAAAAGGTCAGCAGAACTTAAACTACTAGTCAAAAATGTGTAACTTTTTTGATTGATTTAAAAATATAAATCTTTTTCTGCCTAAAAAGCACCAACTTTTTGAATGAATTTTTACTTATGTAAACGTACAACAATTGCTGTCAGAATAGGGATCTGCACAATCCATTTCAGGTTTCCTGCGCTTAAATCCCAGCACCTGTTGATCACAAACCAGATCAGTCACTTTTAGAAACATCAATCCCAGACATCTTATTAATATTTCATATTAGGGGTGTAGCGGCACATGTACTGTATTCATGGGTCGGTGCAGACAGTCAGATAACGAATACGGGCGATCCACAATACAATCCAGAAGGGGGCGCGTGTGGCAATGCAACAGTGTTTGCTAACCGCCACAACAGGAGAAAGAGCAGAAGAAGAAGAGACGATCTACACACCAACCCAAAACAACTGCGCTACTAGCCTTTACCCTGAGTTCCCTTCATTTGTGTGACGAGCTCCACAACTTCACGGGAAGGAAACCCGGATCCTGTTTGTTTTCTTCATTTTACATTGTTTTGTTTTTATTGTGAGTGTACACAAATAAAAAATACACCCTTTCTAATGATGTCTTACTCTTATCTGTATGCCGATAAATGACAGAGTATTTTAAGTTGTTTCAGATGTTATAATGAGACGAAATCATTGGTATTGTGCTGATTTGTGCAATGGATGTCTCACTTCAGTCCAGTGATGAAATACGCATGTCCTGGAAATGGGAAAACTCAGGCGCCGCTCCACTCGCCGTCTCCTCATGGAAAGGTGAAGTAGACTCTGCCATTGTCACCGCATGTTTACTCTCAAAGTTTCATTTTTCATTACTCTATTTGTTTTCTACTTTTATAACACAAGAGATGCGTTTCAGTTTTGGAGCTGAATGCGACCAAATACCAAATGCTCTTCTACAAGAATGCATTGTTTACTGCTTAATACACTTAAGGAGGCTGTACTGTCGCAACTACTTCAGGGGGACTTAATGCTGGAACAAACTGTAATTTGCACTACTGTCTGTTCAAAATAACTGAACAGAAACCTAGCATTGGGGATTTGTTGCTTTTTCATGTTGGACCAAACTCGTGTCGAACCATGACCCCAAAACCGGGGTACGTACTGAACCAGGACTCCTATGTATCGTTACACCCCTAATATAATACACAGATAGCATGCTTATGCATGTGGCATACATTATTTACCATGCACAGAAAATGCTCTTTGTTCAACAAGCTGAATTAATACTGTATACATGGACACATGGTCATACTTCAAGGACAAACACTTACTCAGTGTCGGCAAGAGTGGCTCTCACGCTGGCCCAGATGGTGACGAACATCGCAGGAACACCTGTTTAGTGAAACCTTTAGTGACCTTCTCTTCCAAGTTCAACATACAGATGTGGGCTTATTATCACACAACTCTCAAGGCTAATAGGATTGGCCTTGATTTTTGATAGTCTTGGATACATTTTGATGATTTTTTTATGAATGTTTGCATTTGTTACCTTATTTGGTAACACTTTATTTTAAGGTGCTTTTAATAAGCAGTAATTAACAGTTAATAAGACACTTATAAGACCTTATAAGATGCATATAAGATGCATATAAGCATTAACTACTTCATATAAGGGTTAATTAAAGGTCCAGGCCCTGAAGAGATCAGGGAAACTACTCCCTCTTGGGAAGGTCAATTTTTAAGTGACTGGGAGTTTGTGTTACCATTTATGTTTGTTCGGCTGTTCTAAAAGTGCAATGTATTGATACTTGAGAAATGTATTATTTAATTTAATTTATTTATTATCATTAGTTAATGCTTATATGCATCTTATATGCTTCTTATAAGGTCTTATAAGTGTCTTATTAACTGTTAATTACTGCTTATTACAAGCACCTTAAAATAAAGTGTTACCCATTATTTAAATGTTTTGCGTGTAAAATACGTCTATATTCCAGCTATCACTGCAAATTAATAAACAATCAAATTGTTTAATTTTGAGTAATTTAACCGATTTCATATTTTTTTATAGTAACATTTTGGTGGGACCAATGAAAATGATGGGTAACACTTTAGATCAGGGAACACATATTCACTATTAACTAGGTGCTTATTAGCATGCATATTACAAGCATACTGGTTGTTTATTAGTACTTATAAAGCGCATATTAAGGCCTTATTCTGCATGACTATTCTATATGACTTCTAGATCCGTTAAACCTTCCCCATACCTAAACATAACCACTACATCAACTAGCTCACTAACTATCAATGAACAGTAATTAGGAGTTTATTGAGGGAAAACTCCTAGTTAGTTGTGAATATTTGTCCCTCAAATCTAGCGCGTTACTTAGAGAGTAAAGCACTGGCGCAACATTGTGGCTCTTCAACCCTGGTTTAAGCAACAGAGAAGTGGCTCAGCTCCACAGCATCCACATTGTATGCGCTGTGCATGTCCAACTTTTCCGCACAGTGTGTACAATGCAGGAGCCGTGAAGTCCAAAGTATATCCACACGTGTGTCTGCGGATGTCCCCAAAACATACAGCAATACCTCACAGCAACTGTTACCATTAAGATATAAAATCTGTTTGATTTACCAGTTGATAGCCCACTTAGCTATTTACTTCAAATTAACCAGAGAAAGCAGTAATTAAATCTTGTGGACATGACTTGGTGTCTGTAGCCAGAAGCTGAATAATCATCTTGTGTACTGGAGATAAGTGTACGTGAACACATTTACTCACCCCATCCAATCAGAGTAAAGCCCCAGAGGTACTTCCTGTCTGAGAAGAAGGTCATGAAGATAAGGCTGTGCAGGTACAGGCCTTCCACCAGAATCCAGTAATAATTAGTCGCCAAGAAGTACAAGAAGAGAGTCACCGCCACCTTACAGCCAATCTTGAAGGGTGAAGGAGAATCGATTCAGCACGTATTGATTAGAAGCATGTGCTCCATCATGGTCACCTTAATTTGCTTTTGAGATGTAGACTACATGTAGCCTGACTATCCCCCCAAAATCAAAATTCATTCTCTAGAGAGAAGGGCCATTTAATACAAGTGCTGAAAGATACTTGTCGAGGTGTTCTGATTACTTTCGCCATTCAAGTGTCCTGAATTACTAGGGTAATCATCTCTAGGTACTCTCGTAACCTCTGTCCCCTGAGATGAGGGAATGAGACATTTTGTCAATAGCTGACATTATGTGGAAACACATTTAACCACCTCTGAAAATACTGAAGCCTTATTGGACCATGCCAGTGTCTCACACTGGCCAATGGAGTTTCAGCACGCCGAATGGAGGCAGTTCGCAGCGTACGTAAAGTGGGTGCCAAACGGCAAATCCTTTGAATCTTTTGACTAAGGAATGACCGGCGAGCTTGGCTAATATCACGGCCAGCGTACAGTACACAATGCCCTGTTCCCTCATCTCAGGAAACTGAGGTTCCAACACTTTGAACAAAATGTAAACAACAATAAATACACTCAGGTAAAACAGAAGTGTGCTGACTGAAGACTGTGTAGAAGCAGCCAGTGATGTGCAAGAGGGCATGTAAACTGTCTGTGCTTGGAGCCGCTTCCATTTGGCACGATTAAACACTGTTGGCCAGTTGAGTGAAACACTGGTGTGATTCAATAAGGCTTTTTGGAGAAAGATGTTTCCTCAGTGTCAGCTACTGAACTGAAATTGAAAGGGAATTGGTGGTTGCTGGGTGACTGCTTACTGGACCAAGTCAAAAGCACCCATCCTCAACTCTACATTATATCCCGGTCTTGGGACCCATATTCATGCCAAAACAGAATATCCATAATCCTTCTTTATACTAGGCATGAGTAACTACCATAGTTACTAGAAGAGTCTTAATTATAATGTTTAATTAAAAATTAAATATATTACATAATTGAATTCCCATGAAGCTTAATTGAAAAGCCTGTTTCCTGGTTACACATTTATGTGGAAATTGCTACAGTGTCACGACAACAACAAATGCTTCCAGGTGATAATGACGCTCCCGCCTGCTATGGCAACAACACAATGTGGGATCCCTCTGCTATGAACTTTACTGTGAGATATGATTGTATGTGTGCTGCACTTACAAAATGGGTTTTGTTGGCAGGAGGGGCTTCTGTGATGGATTTGAGATCCTCCACTGTGATTCGTTCCATTTCCTGCAACGCAGCACCAGAGTACAACACCACATCTTTCACAAATATACTAATGGCCCTCAACATGAACGATACAAACAAGTGCATGTGGATGTAGTTTCTGGTGCAGTGCAGCCGCCTAGAAGAATAAAACAGAAAGAGAGAGAAATAAGGTCAAACAGGTGATATTTTGTAATTAGGTGTAAAAGTTTTGAGGTATCAAGGTACATGAAAATCCCAGACCAGAACATTGCAGATCAGTATGCAATAGCAGACACTTGGAGCTGTGTATGTATTTGTTAGGTTGCTCTCCAATGCCCTTTCACAGGGCCTAGAAGAACAATACTAATCTTAATTAGGGCCAGATGAGTCTGCCGCTGACTGTAACACATTCTTTGGATTTAAAGGGTTCAGAAAGCACAAATGTTGAAAATCCAGGGCTCAAAAAGTAAGCTATAAAAACAAAATTGCAAGCATGTGTTACCCAAATTCCCTTCAGTTTGTCTACACTCTCTCAGTTTGACAGGAGCAAGTCTATTAAGGAATAGCTCCTCCAGATTTGTTGCAGACATCTGAAAACAATGTTGCAGTCTGATCTCATGAGAACTCATAAGTAGGGTTTACGTAGTGTTTCAAAATACAGCTGTCAATGTGTAAAAAACTATACAAATCCATGATATTATAAATATATTTGTGTATAGTTATATTTGACTATTATATAGATATGTTTGAGCCCTTAACTCACCTCAAACTACTAACCAAGAATATAAAACATAATAGGCAGATATGACCGTTGCACAGTGACAAATACTGTAGTTACATTATACTATTGTATTGATATTTTCAAGCTCACAACTCCACTCCTTACCAATGAACATACCAATTCCCTGCCAATACACCTGGTACATCTATCATCATGAAAACATAGACATAGACACAATGGCTTTTATAATGAGCAACAGGGAGGAGACGATGGTGGGACGGGCCAGGTGAGGACCGACGGCGGCACTGATGGAGGGAGGAGCCATGGTGGAGTCAGTAAACCGACCGACAGTGGTGGAGCCAGGAGAGCTGGAGACCCAGGCGGAGCCAAGGAGACGAAGAGACCAGATAACACCGTAGGCCCTGGAAGCCAAGACGGAACCAGTGTGCCGGATTACTGAGGCGGAGCCGGTGGGACTGAGGACCAAGGCTGAGAAGGCGGAGCCTGGCACCGTAGGCCCTGGAAGCCGGATCCGGTGGGACTGAGGACCAAGGCTGAGAAGGCGGAGCCTGGCACCGTAGGCCCTGGAAGGCGGAGCCAGTGGGACTGAGGACCAATACTGAGAAGGCGGAGCCTGGCACCGTAGGCCCTGGAAGGCGGAGCCGGTGGGACTGAGGACCAAGGCTGAGAAGGCGGAGCCTGGCACCGTAGGCCCTGGAAGCCGGATCCGGTGGGACTGAGGACCAAGGCTGAGAAGGCGGAGCCTGGCACCGTAGGCCCTGGAAGCCGGATCCGGTGGGACTGAGGACCAAGGCTGAGAAGGCGGAGCCTGGCAAAGCTGAAGGGGTGGAGGGATGAGGCATTGCCGAAAGCCCGGAAGTCCATGGCGTAGGCAGAGCGACAACTGACTAGGGTGGAGCCGGAGGGCCGAGGAAGCCCGGTGGAGCCGTGAGGACGATAGTACCAGGTGGAGCTAAGGGGACAAGGAGTTAAGGTGGAGCTGACTAGTTGACGGGCCAAGGTGGAGCTGGAGACCAGAAGACCCGAGTTGCAGGGCAAAGCCAATCGAGGAGGAACTGAGGGACTGAAGGGAGCTAGTGGAGGAGTGACAGAAGGACCAGCTGGCTTAAGTAGAGGAGGCGGGAGAGAGAGAGGATGGGTCCATCATCGACGAAGGAGATTTGGAGCTGGGAGGGACTAGCGGAGACACAGGAGACTTGGGAACAAGAGGGAACCAGGGAGTCGTGTTGATCGTGGGAAGGGAAGGGGACATGGATGGAACTACAATGCCCAACGGCACGGCCATGAGTGCCGGCTCTCGCACCTGGTTGGACACGATGACTGGCTCGGTCTCCAGGACGAGTAGGGCTGCAGGCTCCGTCTCCAGGGTGGCCTTCTCCATTCATGGCAGGGTGGCCTTCTCCATTCATGGCAGGTCCTGACTGTGGCGCTGACTCTGGCTCTTGACTCGTGTTGAGCTCGGGCTCAGGTTCTGGGTCTACGGTGGGCTCTGGCTCTGTGACCGTGGTGGGCGTGTTGGAAGGCTGGCTGGTTCTGAGGAGGGCATGGGTACTTAAGTCCAGTGTCCATGGCGGGTAAGTTCCTATAGGTAGACGTGGATCAGCTGAGAGTCACTGATGCGAGCTTGACTAACGTGACCTGCCAGAACTGACGCTACGCTTGATTTTTACAGCTTCAAAAGTCTTGCAATAAAGCAAAAATCCATTCATGGTGCATTTTAATTTTATGGTTCGTACCTGTCCCACAGCAAACAAAGCCATTATTTCAAAAAAGAATTAAGGAAAGATTCCTTATAAGGATATCGAAGCTGATGTCAAGGCCACCTTTGTCTCAAAAAGGATTCTGTATCGACATCAACTAAAGAGTACAGGAATGTCTGCACCAAAATACCCCTTCATTCAACACAGACAGCAAACAAGAGCAGCTCAAGAGAATGACTGATCAATTTGTACTATAAGAGCACAATTTCACAAATTGTTTCAGAACCACCACTGGTCAATAATGATTGCGGGTGTGTGTTGCTTTGTTCCAACAGCTGTCTGTCTTTGCCGATGTCAGTCTCAGTCAGAACACTTTTTACACTGCAGATCTTGGATCACAGACAGGACTAGATATTCAGTCTGCTAAGCATTAACTCTACTCTAGGATTGCATCTTTGATAATCATAACACAGTGATCGTCGTACCGATTTGCCTCTGATTTTGGGCTTTTTATAGATATTGGATAAAAATATTGGATAAAAATTTCTGTAGATATTGTAAAAAAAATATTATCATTTTGGCCAAAATAATTGTGTAGTGAAAGTATGATATTGTGGTAGCTGTAGATGATTGTATATGGGTTTTAAAAAATAATTTTAGTAGACATCACACACATAAAACGTTTTTCTTAGCCAAAGAAACACTAGAACTAGAAACATTTATACTGACTATAGTTTTATTAATTTTCATGATTTTTTGCATGATTATTTGGTGTCATATGATATACTGGTGATTGGTAACTTGAAAGTTAATTTTTTTTTAAAAATGTTGGTTTCAAATTGGTTTAAAAAAAATGGCAAGACAAACATTAAAGTTACTAAAATGGTCATAGAAAGCTACATCCAAAATGTAAAAAAAAAAATATATATATTAATGCTAAGTTATTTCAGTCAACTAAAAAAGAAGAAGCCTATATTTTTGTTTGCAAATACATTCATTTAAATGTGATGTATATCTTTATTAAACCAATTTTTTATCAGTACCATCATGTAAACTTGACATAAAGATTTGCCCATGATTCCATTGCAAAATCCATATAATTGATTATTGTCATTTCTTGTGTGATCAGTATCCGTTCCTAGTGTTGTTACTTCAGAGAAATGCCTTTTCTTCCTAAAAAAACACACCAGTCCCTTCTGCAGAAACACATGCTGAAGTGTGAAACCGTCAGGGTTTATCTTTGTCATTGCTCTCTGTCCTCTGGAGAGGTTTAGGAACGGCTTCCCTCCTCGTCATTAGACTCACTGCTGTTTAACCAGCGTCCCGTTGGGAAGGATTGATCGGGAGGCTCGTGTGGAGCGTGTCTCGGACACTGGAGGTAATGTTGGGGAGTCGCCGCGCCGCATGGCTGATGTCCTGGACCATGGAAAGACTGGCAGTGTTCCAGCAGGAGCCCAAACGAGCCCTTATTAAAGTCATTTTCCTGACCTGCATTTCCGGGTGCACAGGCCTCTTAAAAACACGGAGCACTGGAGCCGAGTCAAGCTAATCTGCTGCCTGTCAGCGGCCCGTTCCACACACCCACCGGCCCTTTATTTGAACAAGCCCACTGGATAAATATCGAGGGGAACCTCTTTGCATTAATTAGTAATGAAAATGGAACGATTGAACGCTAAAGTCATAAATGCACTCATATGTCTTCATACTGAAAAAGGGCCAGCACACACACACTGGGTCAACTATTAGATAAACATTCATTTGATGCAGTCCATTTGGAAAACCGATCGCTTTAGTCAAGTCAAACTGCAAAGTTTTACTTTAGTTTTAAAAGTTAAATAGTCACTTTCTGCACACACTCAAAAACATTAACCCCTAAAACCACATGCTTGAAACACGAGCAGAACATATTTCTGTGTAAATCATTTGTAAAAGCCATTCATACACAAGCGTGACAGATTCCGTAATGAATGATTTACACATAAATGTGTTCTGCTCATGTCTCATGACAATGAAAGCGCATACCAACTCCACATTGAATATTTAAAAAATGACTTACAGTCATTCAAAGAGGACCTTAATGCTCTTTTACAAAGTCTTGTTGTGTTGGTTCTCTACTAGAACAGGTTCTCCTGCTTGAATGTTGATTATTCTCCTCATATTCTCCATTGTTGCGGCTCCTCTCTTCCCAGTCTGTCAGTAACGCTCTGTTTACTTTCTGTCTCTTTAAAGCCCCTCCTTCTGAAAAGCACACTGTGCTCTGATTGGTCGGCTGGAGCAGTGTGTTGTGATTGGTCGGGCGCTTCGAGTGTGTTTGGGAAAGTCCCGCCCCTTTCCATAACCGCCAGTTTAACACACTACTGACTAACTCAACCAGGCCCCGCCCCTTTAATCTGCGCATTAATTATTATAATGAGGAATATTGTGACGTGTTCCCCGGAAGAAACTCAAGACTACAATGAGTTCAGAAACACTGACACTGATATAGAGAATAAGCTTTTTCATTATCAAACATTACACACTAAACACAGATGAACATGGAGAAAAGCAGAACAGCTCCTCTTTAACTTATTAAAGATGTTTTGTCTTTCGAACCAGTATGCAAACGTTGCCAGCTAGCAGACATTCAGCATTGAACAATGCCTATAAAATTTGCATATGGCAAATAAATATAATGTCGACACAATGGGGCATATATTACACCTGCAGCGTGTAGATTTATTTGTCACCTAATTGTTTCACAAATTAAGACAAAATGACAACTCAAAAATGTGTAATATATGGCTGTAAATCTCTTGATTTTCTGTATAGCTGTGTTACGCAGCAGTTACACTCACAGATATGCTGACATATTGTAAGCAAGAACTGTATGGATCAAGGAAAAAGGTGAAAAAGGGATATTTCATATATACAGATCTCGCTTTTGTTCAGATAATATCATACGAGGATCACACACAGCACACACACTTGTTTTCTGCACAGCCCCCCAGAATGAGGAAAAGCCCCTTAAAGATTGCTAGTGAAGATTCATCATTTGTTAAGGGTTTAGTGAATCCTGGGAGGGTTTTTCTCACCGGAAGTATCCGAGGATGACAGTCGCCACCATCAGTGAGCCCAGAGAGATGGAGTAGCCCACCGTGTAGATCAGGTAAAGCCTGTGGAAAACCTCCTGAGGACGAAGACCACAGCAAGAGTATGAGTGTATCATGCACACAATACTGAACATCTATAAGGAAGAATGAAACATAACAATATAGCTCAGATACCAGTGCATTTTGAACTTCATCCTCTTCAATGCTGTGTATTTGCAACTATGTGAATGTCTCAGTAGAGCATTATTTGTTTGCTCAGTAAACCTATGAACACCTATATAACAGTATGAACACCTATATAACAGTATGAACACCTATATAACAGTATGAACACCTATATAACAGTATGAACACCTATATAACAGTATGAACACCTATTTAACAGTATGAACACCTATATAACAGTATGAACACCTATATAACAGTATGAACACATATATAACAGTATGAACACCTATATAACAGTATGAACACCTATATAACAGTATTAACACCTATATTACAGTATGAACACCTATATAACAGTATGAACACCTATATAACAGTATGAACACCTATATAACAGTATGAACACCTATATAACAGTATGAACACCTATATAACAGTATGAACACCTATATAACAGTATGAACACCTATATAACAGTATGAACACCTATATTACAGTATGAACACCTATATAACAGTATGAACACCTATATAACAGTATGAACACCTATATAACAGTATGAACACCTATATAACAGTATGAACACCTATATAACAGTATGAACACCTATATTACAGTATGAACACCTATATAACAGTATGAACACCTATATAACAGTATGAACACCTATATAACAGTATGAACACCTATATAACAGTATGAACACCTATATAACAGTATGAACACCTATATAACAGTATGAACACCTATATTACAGTATGAACACCTATATTACAGTATGAACACCTATATAACAGTATGAACACCTATATAACAGTATTAACACCTATATTACAGTATGAACACCTATATTACAGTATGAACACCTATATAACAGTATGAACACCTATATAACAGTATGAACACCTATATAACAGTATGAACACCTATATAACAGTATGAACACCTATATTACAGTATGAACACCTATATAACAGTATGAACACCTATATAACAGTATGAACACCTATTTAACAGTATGAACACCTATATAACAGTATGAACACCTATATAACAGTATTAACGCCTATATAACAGTATGAACACCTATATTACAGTATGAACACCTATATAACAGTATGAACTAACAGTATGAACACCTATATAACAGTATGAACACCTATATAACAGTATGAACACCTATATAACAGTATGAACACCTATATAAAAGTATGAACACCTATATAACAGTATGAACACCTATATAACAGTATTAACACCTATATAACAGTATGAACACCTATATTTCAGTATGAACACCTATATTACAGTATGAACACCTATATAACAGTATGCACACCTATATAACAGTATGAACACCTATATAACAGTATGAACACCTATATTACAGTATGAACACCTATATAACAGTATGAACACCTATATAACAGTATTAACACCTATATAACAGTATTAACACCTATATAACAGTATGAACACCTATATTACAGTATGAACACCTATATAACAGTATGAACACCTATATAACAGTATGAACACCTATATAACAGTATGAACACCTATATAACAGTATGAACACCTATATAACAGTATGAACACCTATATAACAGTATGAACACCTATATAACAGTATGAACACCTATATTACAGTATGAACACCTATATAACAGTATGAACACCTATATAACAGTATGAACACCTATATAACAGTATGAACACCTATATAACAGTATTAACACCTATATAACAGTATGAACACCTATATAACAGTATGAACACCTATATAACAGTATGAACACCTATATAACAGTATGAACACCTATATAACAGTATGAACACCTATATAACAGTATGAACACCTATATAACAGTATTAACACCTATATAACAGTATGAACACCTATTTAATAGTATGAACACCTATATTACAGTATGAACACCTATATAACAGTATGAACACCTATATAACAGTATGAACACCTATATAACAGTATGAACACCTATATTACAGTATGAACATCTATATAACAGTATGAACACCTATATAACAGTATGAACACCTATATAACAGTATGAACACCTGTATAACAGTATTAACACCTATATAACAGTATGAACACCTATATAACAGTATGAACACCTATATTACAGTATGAACACCTATATAACAGTATGAACACCTATATAACAGTATGAACACCTATATAACAGTATGAACACCTATATAACAGTATGAACACCTATATAACAGTATTAACACCTATATAACAGTATTAACACCTATATAACAGTATGAACACCTATATAACAGTATGAACACCTATATAACAGTATGAACACCTATTTAATAGTATGAACACCTATATTACAGTATGAACACCTATATAACAGTATTAACACCTATATAACAGTATGAACACCTATATAACAGTATGAATCTGACAGTAATGCAGCAACGGTGTTAACTGTAATGCCTGAGGAGTGAGACAGACGTTCAGTCAGACACTTAATGTGTCGGTAGATCAATCATTGACTAAAGGGTCAAACACACACTGTTCGTCTGAGTAGCATTATCAATCATCAATTATTTAATTATTTTGATTGAATGTTTTACCGAAAGCAAGCAAAACATGCTCTTTATAACCACTGACGTGTCAGCAGAGAGCGTGTGCACTCTTCCCTGCAAAGGCCTCGTCCACACGACTAAAGCTTTTCCTCAGAGCAGATTTAAGGTTATCAAAATGATTCCCGTTCAAATGGATCCGCGGAAACGACTAAAAACGACTGTATTATGCGGACCAGACAGGTAATTTGGAGATGTCACTTAGAAATGTAAAGAGAGACTGCTCGCCCGCACACATCCGCATGCCTATAGACTAAACGGTAACACTTTACTTAAGAGGTGTGCATAAGACTGACATGACACATTCATAATCATGACACGACACATGCATGTTTATGAAGGAGGTTTTATGCATGTTTATGACAACTGTCATTAAGTGTCATTCGCTCAATTATGATATTTTTAATGCAAATATGACATTGTTTGAGATAAACCAATACATCATAACCTGTCAGTGTCTTGGTTATGACAACTTGACATTACTAAGACAACACAACCTGTCATAAATATGTCATAAACATGACATAGCAGATTAATTATCAAACTTAAGAGACCACTTAGCTTTATGGGTTAACATTACACTAAACTGTCAGGTGGCTGGTTTTGACATTGAGGGCATTATAACATTTTAATGACAAATTCAATGTGTACCACTGTAGTTGAGGTCACGAAAAATATTCATGACACAGTTATAATGCCTCATGACAGCCAATGTCAAAACCAACCACACGACAGTTTAATGTAATGTTAACCCATAAAGCTAAGTGGTTTCTTAAGTTTGATAATTGATCTGCTAAGTCATGTTTGTGACATATTTATGTTGTCTTGATAATGTCAAGTTGTCATAACAAAGACATCTCAAACAATGTCATATTTGCATTAGAAATGTCATAATTGAGCGAATGACACTTAATGAGAGTTGTCATAAACATGCATAAAACCTCCATATGTCATGTCATGATTATGAAGGTGTCATGTCAGTCTTATGCACACCCCTTCAAGTAAAGTGTTACCGACTCAACATGTAGCATGCATGTGCACGCCGCCACCGTTTCCACGGATTCACGTTTTTGAGGTTTACACGGAGATGATAACGGTATCGCTTTGAAAACCCGTTTCAAAAAACGTGCGCTCTGAACCCTATTTCAAAGTCAGGCCTCCAAAACGCCGCTGTCGTGTAAAGGAACGGGCAGAACGCAGGAAACGTTTTCTGATTTCGGTTGAACACGGTGTCGTGTAAGCGACATTTACAACGGAAGTGAATCAATCAAAAGCTAACTTCAGCTGGACACTGGCTTTGGACAATGATGTTGTCTTCACTGCATAATGCATGCTTTCGTGAAAGTGCAGAAACGGAGTTGCAATGGCGAGATCCTTGTGTTACAAGGCAAATTATCTTCAACATTTCCTTACACTAGTTCAAAGTCTGGAACCATTTAATTCGTTCTTCATCTCAACTCAGTGTATTGTGACCTTGCATCTACTATTTACACCACATGAAACATGTCAGCAGTGTGTGATTTCTGTTTGGGCTTAAACTCAAAGCTCAAGCGTTTGCATCTTCTGCTGTGTACATGACAGCGGATGAAGCCATTGAATCTGTTTATTTGGAGAGCAAGCTGACACCCCGTGACTGAGGTGTCTGCTCAATGGCTTATGCGAAACAGTTTGTCTTGAAGTTCAGAGGCCTTACAAAAGCCAGATTACTCCCGGCTGCAGTCGGTGGAGCGAGTTCCCACCGCGACCGCACTGACGGAGCTGTGCCTGCGTTAGAGAGAGCCATCCGGGCTGACGGAGCCAGAGATCTGCCAGCTGGTAACACTCAGCATGAGTGGCGATGGCCAAACCCAGCTTTTCATTTGCAGGGGTGGATTTTTCATTAACTACAGAAGTGGCTCTCAGGACTTCATCAGATGCCTATTCAAAGCACATCAGCACGACCTCAAAATGTAGATCTCAAATCTCAATGTTACAGTTCAAAGGGAGATATCTTCCAAAAAAGTGGCAAATAATCAAAAATGGAAGATTTGAACATCTCAGTGCAGTGAGCATCCATTAATCTGAGAAGAACGCTAATCTGGAAGGCCAATTATACCTTCGTGACAGAGTTGTTATGAATATGAATAAATTGATCATGTTAATGAGTGAACAAGCGAGATATGAGCAACATGTGTTAATCATAAATGTCTGAACCATAGGCGGAGTTTGGGGGGGGCTAGGGGGGGCACTGCCCCCCCAGACCAGAGCCAATTAATGCCTGCCTTGTGCTTTGAAAAAAAAAAAAAAATACTGTATTCATATTTTCTCATTTTATTTGTCTTATCTTATCATTTTTGCGGGTATAATGAGTAAGTTAAGGCTAAATTATTTTTAATTACTGTATTGAAAAAGAAGCTAATTTTCTCACGACTGGCGGATCTCAAAGTATCGCGGTAAGTGAGGAATTTCCTGTGTGTTTTTCGCGTACAGACACGTCCGTTCACATGGATCCCCAAAAAGGACTAAAACCGCTGTATTATTCATGCCAGGCCGACTCTCCATGAGAGGATAAAGAACAGGCTGCGGTTGACGATGGGAGCAGCCAGGTTTTCTTCTCTTGCGAATGCGATCCTTCACATCGAAAGCGACATTACGGCCAAGCTCTCACCTGAGACCATTATCGACGCAGGACGCAAAAAAACGAAAATTACTGTTGCACTAGTCTGAGCAATATCTAGGTCTGTAAGTTTTATTTCTCTGCCAAATAACTGCTTAAGATGGAGAAAAACTCAACACACTGCTTTCAATATGCTGTTCAATATGTTTCAAAAGTGGAGAGTAGGCTATGTGACCGTTAATTTTTCCCGTGTCTCAATGTTTTAAATGTTTCATGAAATGGCTACAACAAAATGCGAAATAACTTTTTTTTTTTAATCGCTCTCATTGCCACAATTGTGTTTCAAACGTGGAGAGTAGGCTATTGTGTGACTGTTCATTTTTCCCGTGTCTCAAAATGTTTTAAATGTTTCATGAAGTACAATAAAATGCGAAATATAACTTTAATCACTCTCATTGCCACAATGTGTTTTGAAAAAAGGAAAGAAAAGAAAAACTAAAAATCTTTTTGTTTTGGTTGAAGATAATATTTTAACAGTGCAAAAGTGGTCCACATTTCATTTATCCTAATTGTGTCCGAACGACAATGATTGCTACATGAATGAATGAATGAATGCTACAATGATTTTTTTTTTTTTGCCCCCCCTGGCTCGAATGTCAAACTCCGCCTATGGTCTGAACGTTGGTAAATTACCCTAATGATCCACTTGATCAAGACATCCACACAATCCTATCTCATTTCAATCTATTCATGTAAATGTGTGGAACTAAAACAAAACAAAATGGCTTGAAATAAGTGTACTGAGTGTAAAAGATGTCAGCTTGTAGAGATTGTGCGGTTATAATGTGGTAATAAGCACAAAGCACTGCTTATTATAAGCAAATGGCGCAGGAAGAAAAGTAACCCAAACAAGTCAATACAATGAAGAGCTTGATATTAACTCTTCCCCCGCCAGTGGTTTTCTTTTTTTAAGTTGGCAGCAACAGCCAGCGTTTTTGATAATTTTTACAAAAATTTAATGGACATGTTTTGTTGTGTGAATACATGAACACATTAACTTTTAATTTAATTTGAGCTTGATTCATTTATTTTTATCAACACTTGAATATGTGTAACAATCATAAAAAAGCAACATTTTGAACAAAAAGCTGAGAAGAATGTGCATTAGCAATGCTTTTATCGCTCATTTTTTTTGCGTGCGTTTTGATCGGGAAATGAAAACACGTGTAATAGCGCCCCCTACCCCATAACAGTGAAAACACGGACAGTTGGAAATGTCCGTCAATGGCGGTGAAAGAGTTAAGCAGTCTTTTTGAAAAGTTCAGTACAACACAAAGTGGACTTTACAGCTTTCCGCATTAATCCAGATTTTTATTTGAGAAAAATGAGAAGTACTTTTCATTTGTAAACAAATGAACTCACTGGATTATCCAAAAACAGGCATTGCCACATGGATATTTACTATGCAAACCATTTTTGCTGCATTTTTAGCAAACTATGTTGTGATATATACTTTTAATGTCCTTGCACAAGATATACTGTTAAGGTCCATCTGAAATTTTTGCACGTTAAAAAATAAATATGACCTCACGCGTTTTTCGCATCCGTAGCAAGCATTTTGACAATTCAGAGCCACCGAATGAAGAATAGAAAAAGCGCAAAAGAACATTTGGGACTCAGTGTGCAAGTACCTATACCGTGACATAAGTTAGTGAACGCAACCCTGGCTCCGTGAGTGGGAACGAGACGATGGGGAGACGTCACTGGCCACGAGGTCTGAAGCCTATTCATTATCTAGCTAACAGAAACATGTCCTGGAAACGTTTTACTAAGGTTTCTCATTAGGTCATGAAAATGTTATTTCTCAGAATGTTCAAAATGTCCAGTTTTTTAAATGCTTTAACCTTTTAGGAAGCGTTCCATTTCATCATTCTTCAAACACTATTGGAATGTTACTTTTAAATGTTCTCTGAACATTCCGAAACAAGTAGATACATTTAAAACATGAACCATCACACGAGAACGTTCCCTGATAGCTGGGATGTTCTGTAACTCAGAGGTTCAACAAGAACACTTGGTTAAAGTCACTTCTTCTTCTGCTGTTCATCTGAGAGTTGAGGTTATGTGCATTCCTCATGTAAATGGTAAATATTTCTGCGGGCAGCTCAGCTTTTCACCAGTCTACACCAACATGAAAAGCACACGGATGAGAGAAATGAATCTAAACAAAGCCAAACAAACAAAAGACTTCAGTGTTAACATTGGTGACTAATGAACCGTGTCCACACAATGTGGTTAGACTCTTAAAGCAATATGGAAAGAAGTCATTTCCTCTCATGCCGTTCCAAGCTATACTCCATGTCTTCTAAAGCCATGATAACTTTGTGTGAGGAACAAATCAAAATGCAAACAGATTCATTAAACAGCTGCATCAATATTGCACATGGTATGTCAACACAAATACCAGCGTGTTATTCACTGACCACCTGCACACTCAGTGCTGAAGTTATGCTGCGTATTCAATATTCAGATGAAGACACTGGCATTCCTCTCTGTGCAGACATGCCTCATTATAGCCTGCGCTTCATTCACACACAATAAATAGCCTGTGTGTGTGTGTGTGTGTGTGTACGCCTCATGCAATTACTGCCAAATGCAGTGGTATATGAAAGCAGCCTAGGCTATATCCACTGAAAAAAAGGCTTGCTGCTTGTTCACTTTCCTTAAAATGAGCCAAAGCAACACAATTGCTCAACATTAGCCCTCAAATTGCACAAATTGTAAATTGCGAATTGAAAATAAGCCCAATGGAAACACGTTAATTCCCATATTTCGCTGAAAGGTTTTTCAGGCAGATTTTGAGGGAGAAACACCCAGAAACTCCTCATTCGAGCCACTCACAAGCGTTTCTTGCCATTAATGCTTGGAAAACACGTCTACGTCTCCTTCCACTAATAATAATGTCTAGTGCGGTGGCTGGGATAAACATAAACCCTCCAACATCCGTCGCCATGATTATTGGTATGACTTATCGTGAGAGGGAAAAAACGAAGTTTCAGTCGCATTACATCGGTTAATGGAAACAATAGTTTTTAATCGACATTTAGAAAATATTGCAAAAGTTCTGTGCAGATCTGTAATGGAAAGGCGGCTGTTGTCACAACTTAATTGCATTGTGTTCAATACACTTATACGTGTGTAAAATTCCCTAATTGCTTCTGTAGATATCCGAGGTTACCCAGACAGTGTCGGCCCAGATCCGGCCCACATCTGGTGCGTGTGGATTCAGCGGATCGACACTGTGCTGCTGTCTGGGTTTTATTGTGCTGAAGAGTAAAGGCTGTGTTTGTGTTGTGTCTACCTGACTGAAGACTAGAGTGTGTGTTGCTTCACTCAATACACTGCAGCTGTGCTAATGCTGCAGAATACTGAAATCACACACTGGATTACACTAGAATCAACTCAATGTAAACGAGCTGATGTAACTAAAAACATTGACTAAGTTAAGCTGAAGTTACTGTAACATGAATGTTGAAATGTCTTATACACTGTAAGACAAACCTGAAAAGCGAAGAAAAGTTTGATTTCATGTCATGTTTGGAGTCAAGAGTACCGACATCTACTATATCCACATATCTGAAATGCTAGAGTTCAGCGGCTGTAAGGTCACAGGTCTTACCCTCTCTTGGTTCGGGTTGTAATGGGTGAGGAACTTGGCGCACTCGCTGTAGTTCGCCCAGGTCTTGTTGTTGTTCGAGGCCAGTTCCCAGGTCCCGTTGAAGTCACAGCGCCGGTAGGCATGGCCTGGAGACACAGCACACACACATCCTCTAGTCGTGTCTTCGGGACATTCACACATTGATTTACAGAGCTCCTATTAGCATCCAACAGCGGTACAAATATGGATTCAATTATTGATTAAAGGAATACAGTACAAAACAACAACCGTAACTGTGCATAGAGTGAGCAAGATGTCCAATTAGTGCTTTTGTATGCAGGTCTCTAGCTAGTGTAATTAATGCATCTCTAAAGCGCCGCTGTAAATACTATTCTGCAAGTAAATCTGCTCGAAATGTGTTGTATTCATTTCCACTGTCAGGGAACCTCACTTTAAGGATAGGGTGTTAAAGGGCTGGTATAATGCCCTTTTCACAAGATGTAAAATAAGTCTCTGATGTCCCCAGAGTGTGTGTGTGAAGTTTTAGCTCAAAATACCCCACAGATATTTTTATATAGCATGTTAAAGTTGTCACTTTTTAAGGGTGAGCAGAAACGCACCGTTTTGTGTCTGGCCCTTTAAATGCAAATGAGCTGCTGCTCCCGGCACAGGGGGCGGAGCTACAAGAACTCGAGTCCTTTTACCTCACACACACACACACACATGCACTGAACATTTCAAAGACTTTTAGCCTATTTTGTTCAAACCGGAGTCAGACAAAGATAGAGAGACTCAAGAAGTGACAACATGTAGAAGCAACAGGACTTCTCTGAATGGCTAGTTGATGAATTTATGTAGCTGATGTGGAGTTATCTTCTAGTCATTGATTAGCATATTCTGTCATGATAATCTATAAATCGTGTTCAGCGGGCGGGGTTTATGTAAATCACACTCAACCACCCCTTTAAATTATTGTTCTAACTCAAGTTAAACAAACAGCAACATTACACTAAACTAAACTTGAAAAGGTGGAAAAACATAATAGGACCCCATTAATGCAAATGATATACAATACAAATCTAGTTCAAATTCATGGCTTGTTGTGTACGTATTTTGCCACTGAAAGAACGCAAAGAAGAAAGATTTTTAATCAGTTTCATTAATAATATCGGTGAAATATCGGTTCAAGATATCGGTGAACATGAAGATTGGTTGAAGTTGTACATAAAATAAAGATTATTGTAGAATGTTTTGCAAGAAACTACTATTTTTCTACTTCAAAATGTCAAGTTTAATCCAATCCAATATGTTTCTTTGATTATGCAGTTTCTGAGTGAAAAGGGTCTTAAAGTAAATCCTACACCAGATGTGAGTATCCAGACAGAAGTCTGATCACTCCAGCACCGCTGAATACTGACACGACTCCAGTGAACTCAGGTTTATATGGGTTTCTCCCTCGGATTGTTTGCTGATGCTATTCTTATTTATTTGGCACTTTGGCACTTTCTGCTAAATGAATAAATGTAAATGTAATGAAGTGAGGATTCACGCCGCTAGTTCTCAGCTCACCGTCCAGGCACACAATGTATTTGCTTTATGAAAACGTATGTATGGACATATTTGGGAATGTGTGTCTGGAAGACGTGAGAAGAGTTGTGAACGCTCAGTAAGAGGAGAAAAACACAGATGCATTGTGAACTAACATGAACAAACAATAAACAGCTGTATTTTATTAACTAACATTAACAAAGATTAATAAATACTGTAACTAATGTGTTGCTCATTGTTAGTTCATGTTAGTTAATATATTAACTAATGTTAACTAATGGACCTTATTCTAAAGTGGGTTACACTTTGTTTTAAGGTGTCCGTGTTACCGTGTAATTATATATTTAAGTAATATTAATGTACTTACTATAGGGTTAGGGCAGGATTAGGATTGGTTGAGGGTTAGTTGCATGTAATTATGCATAATTTACTGTTATTACTATCGTAAGTACATGTAACATATGTAACAAGGACACTGTAAAATAAAGTGTTACCGTAAAGTGTTACCATTATTTTCTGACGTTATTTATTTGTCACTTTGGCACTTTCTGCTAAAAGAATAAATGTAAATGTCCTGAAGTTAGGATTCGCGCTGCTAGTTCTCAGCTCACCGTCCAGGCACACAATATATTTGAGATATGAATTTATGAGATTCTGGAGGTCATCTGGTATTGTCATGGGAGTGTGGTGTGGTGCAGACACGTGTCAGTTAAGCACAGGTTCTGGAGGTCATCTGGTATTGTCATGGGAGTGTGGTGTGGTGCGGACACGTGTCAGTTAAGCACAGGTTCTCGAGGTCATCTGGTATTGTCATGGGAGTGTGGTGTGGTTCAGACACGTGTCAGTTAAGCACAGGTTCTGGAGGTCATCTGGTATTGTCATGGGAGTGTGGTGTGGTGCGGACACGTGTCAGTTAAGCACAGGTTCTGGAGGTCATCTGGTATTGTCATGGGAGTGTGGTGTGGTTCAGACACGAGTCAGTTAAGCACAGGTTCTGGAGGTCATCTGGTATTGTCATGGGAGTGTGGTGTGGTTCAGACACGTGTCAGTTAAGCACAGGTTCTGGAGGTCATCTGGTATTGTCATGGGAGTGTGGTGTGGTTCAGACACGTGTCAGTTAAGCACAGGTTCTGGAGGTCATCTGGTATTGTCATGGGAGTGTGGTGTGGTTCAGACACGTGTCAGTTAAGCACAGGTTCTGGAGGTCATCTGGTATTGTCATGGGAGTGTGGTGTGGTTCAGACACGTGTCAGTTAAGCACAGGTTCTGGAGGTCATCTGGTATTGTCATGGGAGTGTGGTGTGGTGGGGACACGTGTCAGTTAAGCACAGGTTCTGGAGGTCATCTGGTATTGTCATGGGAGTGTGGTGTGGTGCGGACACGTGTCAGTTAAGCACAGGTTCTGGAGGTCATCTGGTATTGTCATGGGAGTGTGGTGTGGTTCAGACACGAGTCAGTTAAGCACAGGTTCTGGAGGTCATCTGGTATTGTCATGGGAGTGTGGTGTGGTTCAGACACGAGTCAGTTAAGCACAGGTTCTGGAGGTCATCTGGTTTTGTCATGGGAGTGTGGTGTGGTTCAGACACGTGTCAGTTAAGCACAGGTTCTGGAGGTCATCTGGTATTGTCATGGGAGTGTGGTGTGGTGCGGACACGTGTCAGTTAAGCACAGGTTCTGGAGGTCATCTGGTATTGTCATGGGAGTGTGGTGTGGTTCAGACACGAGTCAGTTAAGCACAGGTTCTGGAGGTCATCTGGTATTGTCATGGGAGTGTGGTGTGGTTCAGACACGTGTCAGTTAAGCACAGGTTCTGGAGGTCATCTGGTATTGTCATGGGAGTGTGGTGTGGTTCAGACACGTGTCAGTTAAGCACAGGTTCTGGAGGTCATCTGGTATTGTCATGGGAGTGTGGTGTGGTTCAGACACGTGTCAGTTAAGCACAGGTTCTGGGGGTCATCTGGTATTGTCATGGGAGTGTGGTGTGGTGGGGACACGTGTCAGTTAAGCACAGGTTCTGGAGGTCATCTGGTATTGTCATGGGAGTGTGGTGTGGTTCAGACACGAGTCAGTTAAGCACAGGTTCTGGAGGTCATCTGGTATTGTCATGGGAGTGTGGTGTGGTGCGGACACGAGTCAGTTAAGCACAGGTTCTGGAGGTCATCTGGTATTGTCATGGGAGTGTGGTGTGGTGCAGACACGTGTCAGTTAAGCACAAGTTCTGGAGGTCATCTGGTATTGTCATGGGAGTGTGGTGTGGTGCGGACACGTGTCAGTTAAGCACAGGTTCTGGAGGTCATCTGGTATTGTCATGGGAGTGTGGTGTGGTGTGGACACGTGTCAGTTAAGCACAGGTTCTGGAGGTCATCTGGTATTGTCATGGGAGTGTGGTGTGGTGTGGACACGTGTCAGTTAAGCACAGGTTCTGGAGGTCATCTGGTTTTGTCATGGGAGTGTGGTGTGGTGTGGACACGAGTCAGTTAAGGACAGGTTCTGGAGGTCATCTGGTTTTGTCATGGGAGTGTGGTGTGGTGTGGACACGTGTCAGTTAAGGACAGGTTCTGGAGGTCATCTGGTATTGTCATGGGAGTGTGGTGTGGTGCGGACACGAGTCAGTTAAGCACAGGTTCTGGAGGTCATCTGGTATTGTCATGGGAGTGTGGTGTGGTGCGGACACGAGTCAGTTAAGCACAGGTTCTGGAGGTCATCTGGTATTGTCATGGGAGTGTGGTGTGGTGCGGACACGTGTCAGTTAAGCACAGGTTCTGGAGGTTATCTGGTATTGTCATGGGAGTGTGGTGTGGTGCGGACACGTGTCAGTTAAGGACAGGTTCTGGAGGTCATCTGGTATTGTCATGGGAGTGTGGTGTGGTGCGGACACGAGTCAGTTAAGCACAGGTTCTGGAGGTCATCTGGTATTGTCATGGGAGTGTGGTGTGGTGCGGACACGTGTCAGTTAAGCACAGGTTCTGGAGGTCATCTGGTATTGTCATGGGAGTGTGGTGTGGTGCGGACACGTGTCAGTTAAGGACAGGTTCTGGAGGTCATCTGGTATTGTCATGGGAGTGTGGTGTGGTGCGGACACGTGTCAGTTAAGGACAGGTTCTGGAGGTCATCTGGTATTGTCATGGGAGTGTGGTGTGGTGCGGACACGTGTCAGTTAAGCACAGGTTCTGGAGGTCATCTGGTATTGTCATGGGAGTGTGGTGTGGTGTGGACACGTGTCAGTTAAGCACAGGTTCTGGAGGTCATCTGGTATTGTCATGGGAGTGTGGTGTGGTGCGGACACGTGTCAGTTAAGGACAGGTTCTGGAGGTCATCTGGTATTGTCATGGGAGTGTGGTGTGGTGCGGACACGAGTCAGTTAAGCACAGGTTCTGGAGGTCATCTGGTATTGTCATGGGAGTGTGGTGTGGTGCGGACACGTGTCAGTTAAGCACAGGTTCTGGAGGTCATCTGGTATTGTCATGGGAGTGTGGTGTGGTGCGGACACGTGTCAGTTAAGGACAGGTTCTGGAGGTCATCTGGTATTGTCATGGGAGTGTGGTGTGGTGCGGACACGAGTCAGTTAAGCACAGGTTCTGGAGGTTATCTGGTTTTG